TCCCCCTTCCCCCTTCCCCCTTCCCCCCTCTTCTTTCCTCTTCATGATAACCTCGGCGGTCAAAACAGTAGGGCTCATCAAAAGTTGGCCTCAACCACATCCGTGAGAGGGGTGAAGGGTGAAAGCAACGCATTGTCAAATCTTCATCCCCCGCATGAGCAGGTCAATCTGCTGTTGATTGAAGTAATCAGTCGAACGACTTTTGAAGTTTTGAAAGGACCAACTGTTGCGGATATGAATCTTCTCGGAACTGCCATCGCCAGGGCATTGAGGATAACTGACTAAAAGGAGACCGACTTCTTTGCAAGTGAAAGGAGACCGACTTTTTTGCAAGTGAAAGGAGACTGACTATTTAACGTGTTTACGTGCAGAAGAACTCCATCACCATCGCTATGGCTTTCAAAAATCCCGGATCCGTTGCTATCTTCTTCTTCTTCCTCCTCCCTTCGGTCCTTAATGGGAGAGTATGCTCCTCCTTCTCGTCCTCCTTCGCCCGTGATGACAACGATTAAGCGCCCTTCTTCTTCTTCTCCTTCTTCTCCTTCTCCTCCTTCTTCTCCTTCTTCTTCTGCTTCTTCCACTTCATCTTCTTGGTCTACGGCTATGGCGTTCTCTTCTTGTTCTTCGTCTTCATCGCACTTCTTTTGTGTAAGGCCGGCATCGTTACACGTCACCATCTTGGTTCTCTTGTGTGACTGATTGATTGATTGGTTGATTGATTGATTGATTGATTAATTGATTGATTGAGCGGTTGATTAACGAGTTACATCTTGGAGATACAGATACAAGTACGGACAATGACTTGGGGGGAGTGGAGATATGATCGTGTAGGGGATGATGGATTAACATGGACGATTTCAGGAGAGAAGAGCATGGCGTGGTGGTGATGGAAAAAGAACAGGCATGGGCAAGGAACGCAGAGGAAGGAAATGTCGTAGAAGAATCCGTCGAGAAGAGGAGGACGATCATTATGATCAGGATGAGTCGAAATATGATGAGATGGCAATGAATCGGTTCCACTTAGGGTTGAAATAAACGATACCCTCTCTTCCTGGCTGATTGATTGATTGGTTGTATGACTGATTGGATCGTAGATCGATTGGATTGGCGATTGATTGAATTTCCGCAATTGATTGATTATGTGATCGATTGATTGAATTTATCAATTGATTGGTTAATCCATTGATTAGATTTATCAGTTGATTGGGTGATTCATTGATTGGATTTATTGAATGATTGGATTTATCGATTGATTGATTGGATAACGAGTCGCAGTCGAAGGGAACTGAGTCGCAGTCGAAGGGAAATGATGATCAATCAATCAATCAATCAATCAATCAGACAATCGACCACTCGATCAATCGATTAACTAATCAATCAATCAATCAACAAATCAATCGACCACTCAAACGATTGACTAACCAACCAATGAATCAATAGTTCGAGTCAATCAATCAAATCAATCGTTCAATCCATCAAACAATCAACCAACCAATCAATCAGTCGAAACAATCAATCAATCAATCAATCGATCAACCAATCAATCAACCACGTCCAATGATCGACCGTCGAATGGACAAATGATGAATCGATACACAAACTCATTGATCGATACACAAACTCATTGATCGAATGGACGAATGATTGATTGTGCAGGTCTATTCTCGCATTTCGTCGGCATCCATTGAGTCGCGATCGAGGGGAGCATACGTCATTGTCCCTTGTCGTGTTTCTTCAATCACACGCGCTAGGTTGCAGGCTTGTAGGGCCAGGTGGGTCGAGGTGGGAGGGCAGAGAGGGAGCGTCGACATGGCGCGCAGGCCGGAGTTCATGCGTAATGAAGACTTCGATAACGATCCTCGACCGAAGCACGTCATCTGGAAGTATGTGCAGAAGGGCTAGTTGTGGACCAGCCCTTCGGGAGCGGACCCGAAGGGCAATCACGAGCTACGTTGCGGATTGTGTGGTCACAGGTGTGTCGGCAACCAGACCAAGGCCACCCAACACTTCAACACCGCACGCGAGCATGACATGTGCCCTCACGCGTACCTATACATTCTTAGGGAGTTGCAAAGGGAAGGCATTGCCTTGAAGGGTTCCCTCCCTATCTATGTGAAGGAGGCAGACAGGGAGGTCGAGCTCGATTTCGAGTATCCCCTCCACTTGAGATTGCCTGGCGGTGTGGCATGACAGCCCCCCCTGGTCCCTGTGTGTGATTTGGCATAGGGAGGAGGGCGAGCGGAGCGAGAAGGTTCTGCACTGGTGGTACAACAGGACGGAGCGCGCCCCTTCAGAGGAGTGGGCGCCTCTGGAGCAGTGGGCCCATCTAGTGGAGGGGGAGAGGGAGCAGGAGAGGGCCCGTCTGGGGTGGAGGGAGCAGGAGAGGGCTCGTGTGGGGGAGGGGACAAGCAGGACGAGACAGAGCGTGTAGAGCATCCAAGGCAAGACAGTTTGATCCAGTGGGGAAGAGGCCGCATTGTGCTTCGCATTTGCAGCCAGGGAGGAGACGTAGTGTGCCTAAGGGGGTTGCTCTCGCTCTGCAAGACGAGCGGCAGTGGTGCATGGAGAGGACGCTCCAGCGAGTGAGAAACGAGGGCATACCTATCCCTTCTGACCTCGAGGAAGGGCTGGCGGCAGATACTGCGAAGGGGAGACAGGCTCGGCACCGAGTGCCCAGAGTGACCCGCACTCGTCTCGATGGTTGGGTCGAGCACCCCATCCAGTACGACCTCGACATGGCGTACATCAGATTCTTCGTGGGCTATGGTATTCTGTTCAACGTCGCTAGATCAGAGTGGTATTTGGCTTTGCACGACGTCGACCTCAGTCCGTTCAAGGGTCCGTACCGACCTCATCAGCCGGGGTCTGAGTTACTGCCCACGACTCTGTTGTCCCTGTTGTACGAGGAGCTCGATGATCGCTTGCGGTATCCCCGCGAGTCGTGGTCTGAGGGGTTCACTTTCATGACGGACGGTTGTCGACTCAGGCCAACTGCCCTCTCTGCAACTACTTGGTTGCAGGGAGGTTGGGTGCATCCATGTACCGTGTTGAGGATATGTTTGGCTGGGAGCGGACCGGAGCAGGTCTTTACCGCAGATGGAGGGAGCTCATTATGGAGATCGGCGCTCGGCATGTGGTAGCAATATGCACGGACAACGCGTTGGCCAACAAGGAGGCTTACCGTTTGCTCCGTAACAACCAGGATCTTTCATTGCGAAAGATCGCTTGGATCCCTTGTGCAACCCACTGTTGCAATTTGATGCTCACGCACATCGCCAGACAGCCGTGGGTAGCGCAGGTCATCGCAGAGGGGCGAGATATTACTTTGTTTTTTCGGCGGTACTCACGGGCAGCGTACCTTTTGAGTCGGCAGTCTCCACCTGTGTCCTTGATCCGCTCGGGGAAGGCATGGTACGAGACCAACTTCATCACGTTGAGGCGCATGTTGGAGTTGCGTGCATTTTTGGATGGTTATGTTAGCACCAGTGCTTGGGCGACGACCTCGTGACTCATTGCATTGAGGGACGACGCACGTAGGTGCTTTGACCTTCTTCGGGATCCGTAGTGATGGCAGCAAGCGGAACTCGTTGCCACCATTATGGGGCCCATTTACGAGCTCCTTCAACAGGTGGATTCTGACGGGCGAAGGGTCGGCGATGTGCGGGGTCTGCTGGAGAGGCTGCGGATTATGGTCGATCGACTATCTTTTGACGAGGCTTGTCACGAGCCCATCAAGAAGATAGGCAAGGAGAGGTCAGATATGATCCTCACCCCCATTCATTGCGCTGCATACATGTTGCACCCCAAGTACTGTAGCATCCATACCTTAATGCGAGGGATAGTACAGGAGCGCATTCTCCACGTAGCGAGCCAGATCGAGGAAGGCTGAGAGGGCGACGAGATGACTGCCATCTGGAGTTCTTTGCAGGATTTTCACGACAAGTATCCCACACCTGGTCGTTGGGGGGGACCCGTCGGAGATGCCGAGATCGAGCAGCCTGACTTTGATCCTGTGAAGTGGTGGAAATTTAAGGGGAGTGAGCATCGGATACTGCGAAATGTCGCCATGCGTTGCTTGGGTGTGTGGACCACTGCCTCTCCCTGTGAGAGGAATTGGTCCACACACGACTTCGTGCACACGAAGAGGCGCAACAGGCTGGGTGTCGTGCAATTGGAGAAGCTTGTGTTCTGTCACTAGAACCTTAAGCTTCTCTAGAGCAGTCATGAGCGCGGTAGGTTCATAGGGGCAGGCCTCCCTGGGGTCGGATTGACTGATATGGAGAGGAGGTCTGAGGACTACTCCCGTTTTGAGCCGGACGTGATGGCCCCAGGGACATACGACCCGACTGAGATCGAGATGGAGGCCAATCGCCTCAGAAGGCAGTTAAGGGGCAGACGCTTAGCGAGGGCTGCAGTAGCGTTCGCCCATAAGATTCGCCAGCAGGGCGATGACACGACCAGCTGGGAGGATGTGACTGACGACGATGTGTCGTGGTTGTCGGGGCCTTATCGAGGGGATGGGTTTTTGGATGATGAGGCCCTTGCGACTGTAAGCCCTGCAGGGCGGATGCTCCCGCCACGCACTCCGGTTGACGATGGAGCCCCCCTTGCTGGCACACCTGCACCTTAGGCAGACTCGCACAACATTCGTGGAGACAAGTTTCCCGTCGTGTCGGGCGGCGCCGATGCAGATGATGGCATCGGGGGGGATGGTATGGGGGGCCAGATTGATGCAGCGACTGCCGCACCCGAGGAGTCCCATCAGCCGAGGGAGCCCGCTACTCGATCTACCACTCCGGCGGCCCTTGAGGGCACACTTCAGCCATCTTTCGTGGCAGATACTGTTGAGGGCACGTCGTCTGACTGCCCCCCCGCGACTGCTGCAGCCTTTTCAAGCCCCCACCGTGCAGTAGAGTACGACTCTGAAAGGAGGCGTAGACAATGAGCGGGTTTCACAGGTCCGCTAGACTTGTGGACAGCATCGGCTGTCTGCCACGACGCCAAGAGGGATTGGCGGTGGACTTGCCGAGACCGTTGTCGGATCTGCAGCGAGTTGACCCTGATGTGGAGACTGGCGGTGTGGACTGTGGAGAGCCCATTGGTGGGGAGGCTGCTGTTGGGAGGCTGCAAAAGAGGGAGACATAGAGAGAGAGAATATTGTGCACAACCTGGCGGCCGCCGGTTACTCAACAGAGGAGATCGAGCAGGCATTGGTGAGGTACCCCGGGAGACATAGACGAGGCATGCCTCAACAGGGGATGCGCACATGCCACGGGGCGGATGGTGGCACCGCAAACGCTTCTCCCTCACTCCCGTTGCCACGTCCAGATCCTTCTTTGGCACTGGGCATCGTAGGCCCCGGACCGCAGTCGCCTCCCATGATGGATACGCAGGGTGTCGGTGGACAGAGCAGCGGCATAGGGTAGTACAACTCCCCAGGCACTCGTCTTCGTCGTGCAGTTCGCCCTGCAGATTTCGACGCATGGGGGACGATGCCATTGCCTCCCAGAGACCCCTCAGTCATCATTGAGCCGATTCGACCATTCGTTGGTCGCAAACGGAAGCCAGAGAGTGCCGCAGGACAGGAGGCCAGGGGAGCTACAGGTTGTGGCGGAGGCCGAGGCCGACCATCGGGAGATAGGAGGGGCACGAGCGAGAGGGACGTGTCAGGACAGGTACGCGGGAGAGGAGAGGGACGTCCCAGAGGCCGACCACATGAACGAGGGAGAGGAGAGGGAAGTGCCACGATACGAGGAGGCGGTGCACCACGGAGGAGAGCCTCTGCAGATGGAAGAGGCGTTCATGGGGACACAACGTCGGTCACATCATCGAGCACCGAGGCTGAGGAGGGCATAGCGCTGAGCATCACCAGGGGGCGAAGGGGAGAGGCGACGACAAGGGAAGCACTTGCATCCGTGGCCGCATCAGGCTCGAGCACGTCGGCATCATCGGGCGACGCTGATTTCGAAGGGGGTGTTAAGGAGAATGAGGAGGAGGCAAAGGTCGATGCAAATATTGTGGCGGGAGAGGGTGATATGTCAGGATAGTTTTGTACATAGATTGTTTTGTGTGCGGGTGTGTGTGCAGTGTATGCAGTGTGTGTGTGTGTGTGTGTGTGTGTGTGTGTGTGTGTGTGTGTGTGTGTGTGTGTGTTTGTGTTTGTGTGTATGTGTCTGAGAGAGAGAGATGGACGTTGCATGCAACGCAACCATAGCCGAGCCGCATGTCCTCATTGTCGGTGGAGATGGTGGTGGTCCTTGGGTGATGGTGAAAAGTCTGTGGAGGAACAGTAAGGGATAAGAGAGAGAGAGAGAAGGGGCGTACCTGGTGTGCCGTGGAGTTATGCATTGGCAGCGTCTTTATGTGCATCGATCAGCGACTGAAGTGCTGCTGGTTGCATCCCGTAGTGTAGTTAGTATAGGGCTCGAACTCTTTTTCAAGTTTCTCTTAAGCCGTGTCGAGATTTTGTTTTGCTGCAGATTAGAATTCCAAGATCGATCTATATACCTTTCTCGGCCTTTTGGCTAAGATCAAGTGCACTGTATCTGTTCTGATCAGTTTGTTTAATATATGATCCGTGTTCCATCAAACCACAAAACAAACGCGTGTGGAGATTCTGTTTTGTTGCAGATTAGAATTCTGAGATCGATCAACCACAGTGTACAGAGTGTGTGTATGTGTGTAGCGTTACTATGTGTGCAAAACAAGGACGTATCTGGTATGGCCAGCTGCTGACTCAGACACAATGTACATAGTGTGTGTATGTGTGTAGTGTCACTATTGTGCCCAACTGTTGACTCAGACACAGCTGTACCTTTTCCCACTTGAAAAACAAACAAACGAAGGGGACACCCTATTGGATGGCTCCGGAAGTTATCAAACGGGCAGGGCATGGCAGGTGAGGGGACCAAGTCAAACAATTTTGCAGACTTTGAGTTTCGATATCATACTTGTTTTTTTCTTGTTTCTTGAAATTGGACCATTTCTTAGTTTGGCTGTGTCGGCGTCGTGCAAGGGCCATGCTAAGGTTCTCTGTATTGTTCCAGTGTTGCCATATGGCCCAAGGAACATACTCTTCTTTCTGAGCACCCCTAGACCTCCCAATTTCTTAGGCCTTCCATGTTTCAAGAAAAGGAACGTATCCAATACCATAATTCTATACCCTTTACGACATGCTGAGGTGTTGTTGTGAACATGGTCATGGTCACCTTGTGTAGGGAAAGAAATCCAGACAAGAGGGCGTTTTTCCGAGTGTTGAAGTTTTCAATGCTTTGACAGTGCTTTCTTGGTACGAAAACCCTGTTAAACAACTCACAAAATAGACAGGTTGTGTTTCAGTCGAAAGTATTTTTCCTCAAATATGGCTTTATTATTGAGTATTTACTGAAAAGCAGCTCCAGCGTCCCTGACAAGCTGAACTCACTGAATCTGTTATGTGACAAAATACAGATGCTTTGCCAGTACTTTCTTGATATGAAAAGTCTGTTAAGCAGTTCGCAAAACAGAGACAGGTTGTGTTTCATTCAACCATTCAATGATAACCTTTTTAGGGACAGGCGATAACCCAAAATGCCTCCTAACCTATCTGATGCTGAAACTGGCTTCAAGGAGGTTTTCCCGTTGATAACTTCGGTGCCATGACCTGTCTGTTTGATAACTTCCGGATGAGTTCTTCAGGGTGCAGTGTGTCGTGTGCAGGGCATTTTTCAAAGTCCTTGGGGAGTATAAAGCAGACAACGGAGAGCAATAGGACTCAACAGGAGGCATACATAATATCGCATCATGCCATAAGGCTGCACAGTCGGTGGGGAAGGGGGGGGGGTGATTTTAATTTGTTTTTTTCCATTTAAAAGTTGCGCAGACGTGGGGGGGCGACCTCCACGAGCAATCCGCTATTAAAAAAAAAAAAAAATCATATCTACGAGCGCAGCGTTCGGCCCGAACATCAGGTCGACGGGTCCTATACGTGAGGGCGTTCAGGTACGGGCGTTCGCCCGGTTCCGAACGCCGGTGAGTCTGAAATCAGGAACATGGATTCACTATTGATCTTGCCTGAAATATTTAAACAATGCAATAAATAAATAAATATATTTTTTTGCCCTTATTGTTACCATCAAGGTAACCGGCGTTCAGAACGGGCCGAACGCCTGAACCTAAACACCCGATCGTACGGGATCCCTTGGGGATGTGTTCGGTCGTT